CTTTAGAACCATCTACCATCACCCCTTGTTCTGCCATTACAGACCTTGGTAAACTGCATTTTTCCATCTTTTTTATAAGCCAAATTCTTATAGAAAGGCCACAAAATCACCCAGGAGCCGCCTCATCTCCAGGCTGAACAACACCAATTCACCTAACTTCTGTTCACTTCATCTTTCTTCATTTCTGTTGAGTAATTTTAGTCCCTACAAAGAATAGAAGCTGTTACTTTTTCTGTGCAATTTCTGAAATGATACACTATACCTAAACTCAATTTATGTCAATTCATTTTAAATTGAGCATCTTTACATGTGTAAGGAATCATTAAAATGCTTTTAAAGGTAAAATCTGAGTAGACTGTACCTTTTGACAAGGTTTATTTCTTAGTCGCTTTTTCTGCCTGACTTTTTTTTTTCTGTCATGTAGCCAAATCTCTTCAAGCAATTGCTTTAGAATTGCATAAGAATATGTCTAACTCTGTAGTATTAAATTCATTGCATGAGACATGTTTCTCTGGCAGACGTCTGTATGTTGACTTGAGATACTTGGATTGATTAATGTTCATACCAGTTGTATTACATAAATGTAGTGATTATATCCATAAATAGCTGCAATAATTTTTGCTTTGAGTGATTGTATCCAGTCTGTATGTACATTTTGTGGACGGAAATGATGTGATGCCAAATGACTTTTGTTTTGTGAGCTTAAGAAATACATAAACTGTGACTACTCGTCATGTTGCTATGGTGATTAGCAAATGCTCTAGTATATATATGTTCGCCCATAGGCTAACTTTGGAGTTTTATAACTTCAGTTAATTATTCTTGAGATGTTGCCATCTTTCTGATCAGGAGCACTCTGTTCCATTCTGTACCTCTTGAAATGTGTATTGTGTGCAGAGGAAGTAGAATAGCCACATCAGAAATTTACTACAGTGTATATTGCTTGTTAAAAGGCAGTTTTAGCAATGAGACATGACATACTGTCTTAATTTCTTTTTGAGTGTGTTCCAAACAGAGGTTTATCTTCAGAAAACAATCCCTCAAATTCTTTTCTTCCCCCTCCAGGATTTGCTGCTTCTTGGAGCTACGGCCATTGAAGACCGACTGCAAGCAGGTGTTCCAGAAACAATAGCCACACTAATGAAGGCAGAAATTAAGATATGGATTCTGACGGGTGACAAACAGGAAACAGCTCTCAATATAGGTATCCATCTTTATGGTTACTCTGTGTTTGTCTGATATGTAGCAGGTTACATGAATGATGTGCTGTGTGGGATTTTAAATGAAATCAGGCCTGTTTCTTATAGAATGGTTCCCCTGCAGCAGGGCATGGCTTTGGAGATGGGATTTTTTTTAAGTCAAGTCTTCACTATGAATGTCAGGCTATATTCAGATTCTTCTTTTTAAGGCAAAAGGGACACTTCTGCTCGTGGTTAAGTGCAGTTCTTTTATGAAGTGAATATAGGTAACTCTTCTTTCTGATGGAGACTGGCGAGCTCAACCAGACTGATGTTTCGGGTATGCTGTGCATTGTATGAAACTGCTAGAGCTTTTTTCTTTTCTCACTGACTGCCTTTTCTGGACAGAGTTTGGGCTGTGATGGGAAATATGGTGATGTAAAGCATGTAGCTTACAAATTCTTGAAAACTGTCTGTGGAAGTAGGTGAATGCTTGAATAGTTGCCCCTGCTGTCACCTTATGGCACATCTGTTAGTCAAGTATGTTGCAATTGCTAGTACAAGTGTGTTGCTGCTACTAAGTGTATGGATAGAGGCCAGTATGGGTTGTTTTATCAAGGCATAATTGGATATCCTTGTCTCAAATTTGATGCTTCTTGATTTACAAACTATGTCCCTTGTAATGCAAAAAAAATTAATTAAAATCTTGCAGTGATGTGAACAAAAAGTACAAATTCAAGTATTTATTAGATAGATGTGCTTGGATACTGATGTAATACAGTGGTAACCTAATGAAGACATAGGGATTTATCTGATTACCTGGTTTTGCAGCATGACAATGGAGAGTTTTTTAGCACTTGCAGGTTTAGGTTTAGTATTAGAAGCAGCCCTTAAACCTTAGATTTCCTTTTATGTCATAAAAGTTTGTGATAAAATCAGTCTATATTCCCAACATATGTCAAATATGAGGATTTTACTGTAAGGCTGGACTGAACTGGAGGTGCAGATTGTAATTTTTATCCCATAGCAACTAGATGCTGTGCTCTCTAGCACATGTGCTACTGTGCTACTCTTGCATTGTGTATGCCCCATGAGTAGGTGTGCTGGTTTGAGCTGAAGTAGAGTTAACTTTCTTCACAGAGGCTAATATGGGGCTATATTTGGATTTTGTGCAGAACACAGAGTTGATAATGCAGAGATGTTTTTGTTATTGCTGAGCAGAGCTTACACAGAGCCAAGGCCTTTGCTGCTTTCTGTACTGCCACGCTGGCAAGGAAGTTGGGGATGCATGGGAGATTGGGAGGAGACACAGCTGGAACAGGTGATCCAAACACTGACCAAAGGGATATTCCATACCATATGACATCATGCTCAGTATATAAGGTGGGAGGAAGGGGGAACATCTGGAGTGATGGCGTTTGTCTTCCCAAGGAACTGTTACGCGTGATGGGCCCTGCTCTCCTGGAGATGGCTAAACACCTCCTGTCTTTGGGAAGCAGTGAATTTATTCCTTGTTTTGTTTTGCTTGTGTGTGCAGCTTTTGCTTCCTCTATTAAACTGTCTTTATCTCAACCCATGAGTTTTTGTAGCTTTTACCCTTCTGATTCGCCCCCCCATCCCGTTGGTGGGGGAGTGAGTGAGAGGCTGTGTGGTTCTTGGCTGTTGGCTGGGGTTAAACCACAACAGTAGGTCTAATAAGTACTCAAACCTCAAATCCTGTGGCCTTTTCCTCACTGGGGATGCTTGCAAGGTGAGTAGCATGGGTAGCAATACCTTGTGCTGTCACAATGCTGTGATGGCTGGAATTTGTGAGCTATGCCTATGCTGGCATTGTGCTGTAGCCCTTCATAGAACATTAGTAGTCTCCTAGGGAGTGGCTACCCAGGTCTTAACTGAGTAGTGAAGACTTGGTAAAGAAACATATCCTGATCGAAGCACACCCCCCTGCCATAACTTCACATACCTCCCAAATGTAGCATCTTTGGTGATAGAATGCCATGATGTTCTTGTATTCCTTTTGCTGATTTTTTTTTCTTCCTCTGTAACTGGTAAATCTTCCCAGAGATGGCAAGAGACAGAGTAGCACTCAGCTGATCTGACATTTCACATAACTAAGTTCAGTTACAGAGCATTATATTTCTGCCAGGAGTGGCCTGTAATACACCCAGGCCATTCAGCATGCAGTTAAATAAATATAAAAAGTTTAATTGGTCACATTATTCATATAATTACAGAGTCTTGAAGTCAATGGGAGCTTGAGAAGGCTAAAGAAATACCTCCTCTAACAGCAGGCAACCTCTGCTGTCAAGATTTCACAGTTGCATTCAGATTTGCAGATAAGTCTGTTTAGATATGCAGGTGTAGGTTAAGGGGAACTTTAACAGCATATGTTGCCTTCTCGAGCTCACGTTGACTTCAGGATTCTCTAACAGTGATGCTCTGTAGCTGATCTTAGACTAAATTTAGCAAAATTTCAGACACTTGCTATTTTTTTGTCTCGTTCGTTCTAATCTCATGTTTTTTCCTGTTTTGATTGGTGTAGTGAAATTTCAGAATGTAGTCTGCTTGGCTGACTAGAATTTTTGTATAATTCTTAAAACCAGATGAAGCTTTATGTATCTTTCTATGTTGAAGTTGGTACCGAGAGGTGAAATAACTTGTTGAACTGATACAGGTGTTGCAGAAATAAGGTGAATGGCTGAAGCAGGCAGTTGATTTAAAGGCTAGTTACCTGGGTTGAGTCACTGTGTCCAGATTTTGCTTTCTTTAAAAGCAGTAGTCATTGAGGAAGGAAGGAGGGGAGCATCATCTTCGGACAAATTAAAAAATGTAACTACAGATTTTGGCATAAATACCTGAAATAAGTTGATACGTTAACTAGCAGCAGCTAGTTTTAGCACAAGTAAATGAGGCTACACTGAGTCTGTGAAGGAGGCTTAACATTCAGCTTGTCTCTAAAACTGTTGCCTTGTTGTTTCTTTTATTATAGCAACTGGAGAAGAAAAAACATCTCTCTTACAACTTCTAAATTATCACTTCGTTTAATGTACAATTTGGCAGTAAAACTGAATTAGCTTCATGTTCAAGTTGGCTTGAAAGTAAAACATGTGGTACCCTTCCAGTATTTTTTTATGTAACTCATTAAAACTGTAATAAACATTCAGCTTAAAACCCAATCCATGTGTATACTATATGCTTCAGGTGTAAATATGCTGTCTGGGGAGTAAGAAGTATTTTCACTTTCTCATATGTGTAGGTTATGCTTATAGACTCTTGCTGGATGTATGGATATGCATATGGATTGAGGGATATTTGAGCTCTTGGCAGTTGTATCATGGAGATGGAGTACTTTGTTCTTCCAGCTTCGTCTTGATTCTTTGGCTTTCAGAATTTGCATGTGTCTGTCTCTTGATTGCAGCCTTGACTTCTCTGGAGAGTAATGATTGACCTTACTGTAGGGTGGTTGTATGCCTTCCATTCATGCTGGCCTGTAGTTCTGCAGGTGAGGGGGGGATAAGCTTTTATACTGATCAGCCATTTGAACTCTCTGCCTATAGAAACTAGGAGTTCCAGGTTTAGAAGCATCTTTGTTCATAACCTGTGCACAACTCTAGAAGACTTAACAGTGTACTTGTAGCTTCATCCTTTTCTTACAATAAATCTGTGGCCTCTGGATCTTCTTTGTTTTTCAGTGAGATGAAAACATCCATGACAGACTTGTATTTAACACCATGCTGGTGCTCAGCAGGCTCACAGAAAATGGGAACTGCTGTATTTCCGGCCAATAACTTCTTGAGGAACAGATTTGTTTCCTGGGAATGGGAATGTAGTATTTATTCAACTGTATCCATCCCTTGAACAGTGAATCAGTCTCTACAGTTGAGCTAAGTGCTCTTACCTAGTGTTTGCATGCATAGCTGTGAGCCACTGCCTTTGTAGAAGAGTTTGGGGTTGTTAATGACCTTTTGAAGATCTAGTTCAATCCTCCTGCTGTGGGCAGGGGCATGTTTTACTAGATCAGTTTTCTTAAAGCTCCATTCAACCTGGCCTTGACACTTCCAGGGATGGGGCATACATGACTTTTCTGGGCACCGTGTTCCAGTCTTGCTACCCGTATCATGAAAGGTATCTTTCTTATGTCCAGTCTAAACCTACCTTTCAGCTTGAAATTATTGGCCCTTGGCCTTCCACTGCAGGCCTTGATGAAAATCCTTTCTCAGTCTTTCTTATAAGCCCCCTCTATATATTGAAAGGTCTTCCTGGAACCTTCTCTCTAGACTGAACAGCCCCAACTTTCAGCCTGTTTTCACAGCAGAGATGTTCCAGCTCTCTGATTGTGTTTGCGATCCTCCTGTGCGCTCACTTGAACAGGTCCATGTCTGTCTTGTGCTCAGGGCCCCAGTGCTGGATGAAATACTCCAGGTGGGGTTTGCATGTTCAATTTTTCATTGCTTAGTATCCCCGTGTACTTCTCAGTAGGCTGTTTTCAGTCTGTTATTCCCTTAGCCTGTCCTAATTGATACTTGAGATTGCTGCAACACAGGCGTAGGACCTTGTACTTGGCCTTGTGCAACTTCATTAGGTTCTCTCAGGCCTGTTCTTAAAGCTGGTCCAAGTACCTCCATGTGGCATCACTTCTCTCTAACATAGCAACTGCACCGTTCAGCTTTGTGTTGTCTGAAGACTTGTTGAGAGTTCATTTGGTCCCACTGTCTGTCACTGGTGGAGATACTGAATGGTATTGGTCCCAGGACTGATCCCTGAGGGCCACTGTTTATTACTGGTTTTTACTTGGGTGTTGACCCAGTGACTCTAACTCTTGGATACATTCATACAGCCAGTTCCTTACCTATCTGACAGTGCATGCCTCAGACTCTTATCTTTCCAATTCAGAGATAAGAACACTTTAATGGTGAGCTATGGGGTTTTTTCTTCTTTTGCTCGGTTGAGGAAACTGAAGCAATGCCAGGACACTTGCCTGTATCTCTGTGCAAAGTTTGAGCAGGGCATATGTGCCCTCTCTAAACACAGAGGGTAATCGTTCTTGTCTCAGATGCTGAATTCTGTCTGCTGCAGTACGAATGTGCCTGTGGGCTATGATCTTGAACTCTGGTTCAAGCAATCTTTCTCCTGGGACACTTGAAGGAAATTAAGTCCCAGAAGTACCTGATTCATCTGCTTCATGGACTTCTAGTCAGACTTTTAAATTAAAGAGCTAGATATCAACTTACAGGTGTGGATTGACATTTAATACCTGGCTTTGAACTAGCAGTTGATCTTGTTCTACTCAGAAGCATTGACAAAAATACACACTTATCTTAGAGAATGTATCTTTGGTTGATACGTTAATATTGCCAGTAACACCTATTATCAAACTGGAAAATATTACTATGAATGTCTGAGGTTGCTATTTGTAATCTTAAGTTGCCAGCCACTTTGCTACTAGCGCTAGATTTTAACATCATCTTAGTCCTGAAATTGTACATAATGTGTAGATCTCCTATAAACCCTTGTTAGGCTTGGCTTACAGCCTCCTGTTCCAGTCTTGATCTTTCTGTTTAATGTGATGGCAAGATGCAAAATAGCCTCAACTACAGGATAAGTTCTTGTGAATCCATGACTTCCAAGATGCACAGCAGAGCAGGTCTGCCCTCCACAGTAATTTTTTCTTCTGGCTTGGCTTGTTGAATGACATCTTGCTCATTTTGGAAGAGGCAAAATGAAGCAGTGAGCAGCAGTTTAGAAATTACAGCTTGCTAATGCAGCTGCTGTTCTAATCAAATGCTACTAGGAAATCCTTTTGAGTTAGTTATGCTGAATTTGTAACAGCCTCCTGCACAAGATTCTTGCCATTGCCTGAGGAAAGAATAATGCTGATATGGATGGAAGTGTTTAAATTTGCAAAATTCTCTTTTCTTCCTTGATAAAAATAAGGAAGTGGTTTTTCAGCCTGGAAGTAACTTTTAAAAATGGCAAACTGACTTGAGAAAGAAGTCAGTGTTTTGTATACATGCTAGAGGTTTGTTGCTCAGTTTTGTACTCCTTGTTCACAGGCAGAATCAGAGGCTGTCTGCAAAGCTTTCATGTTTTAGGCTGCACTTTGTTAGAATATATTTCATCCTTTTCCCAACAGGTGTGTGTGAGTTCAATGTCATTGTCTTCTTCTCTGAAGCAGAAAGTAAACCTTGGCTCGTTAACACAAATAAGATGGAAATGTATTTGCAAGGTTGCACTTGGTATTCATAGCCCACACAGGTGTGGAAATGGAGGAGAAACTGAACTTCTGCAGGTAATCAAACCTGCTGACTGAGAGTGCCTGGCTATGTGGTATAAACATATCTTCCAAAAAGGAAGATGAGGGATTTGCTTTCTTGACAGAAGTTGCTCATGCAGGCATGTTAACCCTGGATTATACCTACAAAACTAGCCCAATTATAAAAACTCTGTAGCCTGAGGAAATGATTTGCATTGCAAATGGCCTTCCTAAGGAACCAGGAATCCCACAGAAAATTTCATGCCTCGGTTGTTCTCATGCTGTTGTAAGATATGGAAAGAGGCACTTGATCTTTTTGCATTGACTGTGCTGTTCTGCTTTTAAATCTATCAGCCCTGCAGTGGTTCCTCACTGGAACATTGCTCTTATACTACAAATAGCCTCTAGTCCCTACTTAAGAAAAGTAAAAGACTTGGTAAGACCTCATTTTATTTGACAGCAATTTCTTAAACTTGCTGTAATTCATTTCTATACAAAAACATAGTAGGAATAGGAAATAATTCTGTTGTGTCTCCTTCTCCTTTGTAACTTAGATGTGCAATAAAAGGTGTGTGCTTCAAATAAATGAGTTCTCTGCTGTTTTTTGAAGCTTACATGACTATGCCAATCCCAAGTGAACTTGCATGAGCTAATAGGATAATGAAGTAGGGTCAGGTGGATCCAAGTTTGCATTTGTCTTTTGCCATTAATATGAGCAGGAATTAAGATATTTATTCTGCAAATGCTTATACTTTTAAAAAAATAAGAGGTTTTTTTTCTCTGTCTTGAGAATTTGTTTTGTATTTTGGTGTTCTGGCAAATGTACAGAGCTGCCTTCTGAGTGCTTCTCCGGAATATGGCAACTCGCTCTTTTTCTTGTATGCCCCAGTCCTACGCGAAGAATAACCTGATACAATTACTCAGTACTTACAGGAGTTGGTAGTGCCCCTGTGTGTCACCGATCTGTAGTTTTTGATGAAACTCAGAACCTTCTGCACTGAACTCTATGGAGTGAAAAATGCTCGTGTAAGCCAAGTGTGGGCTAAGGGGACTGGGTAATGCTAACTGAATCCGTGTGTGTGTGTGTGTGTACTTCTAGTCATCTGCCATAGCTGCAACTGTTCCTGTGAATGTGTTGAAGATAATTTTGCCTTTATGTAGGTTTAAAAACCAAAAAAATATTACTGTAGAGCTATAGGCTGTATTTACTGCATCTAGTTCACACAGTGTTTTCTTTAATTAAAACATCTCAAGTGATGTCTTTGGTAATGCAGATAAAATGTAGCCTGGGTTACTAGTCAAATGGTCATGTTGGAGTGTGTCCTATACACCAGTGTTTCCAGAAGCCTGATCTATAGATGCTAATCTTAAGGTTGAGCTAAACCTTAGTCTTGCAAAAAGTAAATCCTTGTGGGTTTATTGTATTTTTTTTTTCCTCTTGCAGGATATTCTTGCAGACTCATTTCACAGAGTATGTCTCTCATCCTGGTCAACGAAGATTCGCTAGATGTAAGTAAGCAAATTCTGGTGCATGTTCTTGACAGAGGGAGGTGCTAGCTAACAAGATGAAAAGTTGTTGAGCTCTTTCATTTAGTTTTTCTTGCTTCCATTTGGGGGGCAGCAAGATAAGCAATTCATGCTAAAACACACGTGTGTTGTGATAAATGTACTCCCGAGATCTTCAGTCACAAGCTGTACAAATGAAATTGAAGTCTCAGAACAAGAGACTTACTAGGTCCATGGGTTTGAGTCTAGTGCAAACTGGTAAAACCTGCAAACTGGTAAAACCTAACTTAGTTAGGCTTTAAGGTATAGATGTAAGTGTAACATGTTTGAAGAAAGAAAAAAAAAACCCAGAAAAACAAGGTTGAAGAGTAATTTCAACATAATGAGCTAACTTTAATATTGCATGGGAACAGCTGTAACCAAACCTATGCCTGAGTAAACTGCATTGTGGCTTGCCTATGTACAGAGGCCTTTGAGACCTAAAATGAGAAATTGCTTGCAAATGGTTGCCATGCTCCTCATGAATGTGCAAAAATTCACTGGAAAAATCTTACTCTTGTACATGAATCTTCCCAGAAGATGGGGCTTTAAGGAACCTGGTCAAGTGGAAGGTGTCCCTGCCTGTGGCAGGGGGGTTGGAGCTTCATCATCTCTAAGGTCCCTTCTAACCCAAACCATTCTATATTTCTATGGAAAAAGAAAATGAGAAAATGGAGAACCATGGCTCATCATATGAGGAAAAAAACCCTTATTGATATATAGTTGCTGGTCTTTTAAGTGGAGAAAATGGGTGGTTACATGATTTGTTGTGAAGGCATATCTAACATTGCAGATGACTGTGATACTTCAGCTCAGATAACATGCTTTTCCAAAACATGAGCATAAACCTGTGGAGCTTCTGAACTGGCACATCAAAAATGCTTTGTATTACATCAGTCTTGTTTTCAAACTAAAGTAGATCTGTGGGGTTTCCCCCCTAAAGTTTTCTTATTGCTACTTTTAATGCAGAATTGAGTTTTATATAAGTCTGAATATAAAACTTGCATTTTGTTAATAATTGCTGCTAGTTCTTTTAATTCTAAGGTGTCTCTAGCTGCTTAGTGCCAATTTTCACTGTATATCTCCACAGTAATATTTTTGTGTTGTGCCTGTAACAGAAATTTTGACTTCTATTCAACTGAGCATAAAATCTATCCATAGAAGATTCTTACACTGACATTCTGTAGCATTATATTTAATACATTCCACCTTGAAATCCATTAATACTAAAAATCCGTTTTTACAAGATCCAAGTTGAGCTTAGGGCCTTTAAATATTGATACACTTCCCCATTTGTGCATTCCCTCTGTGACTCTTCCTCCCCACTTCTGCTCCTTGGCATGCAGCACCAGGTGGGATGTGATCGAACAACTGTCTTGGCTGGGTTTTGAGTGCTAAATTTTTTTATAAATCATGTACTTCAGGGGAAAAATCAATCATTTCTGTTCTCTTCAGGGGAACTACTGGGAATAGCAAAGACTAATCCCTAGCTTGATTCAGCTGAGTTCTAGAAACTTAGCATAATAATCTGCAAATGTCTATCCCTTATAGACTTAACCACATGCGTACATATACTCCCTTTTTCTTTTCTTTTCCTAATAAGGCTTTTTCAAATGGGAATATTTTGGGCATGAGATTTTCTGTTTAATTATATCGGAGCGCCAAAAGTCTTGTTGTGCAGCTCTTAACCTGGAAAAATTTATTTCATTGGCATGTTGTAGAATTTGAGTTGTGAGAGTGGGGAGAAGGGAAGCTGAAGAGGGGAAATTGGATGACCCAGAGAGACCCTGGAAAGCCTCAGATGAGAGAGGGGATATTACAGCCAAGGAATGTTGGGTGTGTTCCTCCCCATCAGTCCTGCAGAGGGAAGAGTTGGGAGCTCTATCAATTGCTTATCAAATAGGGTTGTGTTTAACAGTAGTGGAAGGGCAACATTGGAGGGGCTGAACCTGTGGAGAGTGTTTTGCCATAAAGTAATTCTGTTGATGTTAATGGAGCTGTGCAGTGAGTGTGTCCTACAGAACTCAAGTGCCTGGGCTGACAGTCATTATTCTGGGTTGTACACAGATGTGTGATACTCCAGTATAAGAACCCTCAATGCTTGTGTCTATTGATGAGATATGACTAGAAGTATAAGCAGAAGCTGGTGTCCCTCAGTTCTCTGCTTGCTCTGCTGTACCTTGTGTGCTTCACTGTTGGCATGAGGTTACGGATCATGTGAACATGTTGGTGCCACCACGGTATTGTGTAGTATTATTAAAAAACAAGCATAATTTCACAGTATAATTTGTTGTCTGTAGTCAGTGTCTTGACTTCCTAAACAGTCTGAGTATCTGCAGTGAAGCTTTACATACAGTTAAGTTTTATATTCTAGCAGTGAACAGTGAGGAGCTGGTTAGTTTGTTGTTATTGTATTTTAGCTGTTCTTTAGGGTAGCATTAGCATGAAGGTTCTATAACCTGTAAGCAAAATCTTTTAACCTTGAGAATATTATTAGATTTATCCAGTGAACCATTGAGAAAATTCAGACTATCTGTGTGAAAGAACATGCACAGAAGGCCATTAAAATAAGTTGTCTATCAGTGTGTTTGTCTTCTAGCAGAGAATGTAGTTCCAGTAGTGTCTTCTGTACTGTACTTCTCAGGAGAGAAAGATTTGCCTAGCATTATGGCTTCCATATTACCTTCACAGCAGAATTTCTTTAGCATACACTGTATGTGAGTTGTTTTATATAAGTCTGTATTTCAAATTCTTGAGCACAGCTACAGGAGACAGTGCCTGCGAAGTTCTGAGACACTTTTAAAATGTTGCTTTTGGGATCCTGATGCTCCTGTTGAAGAAAGGACAGCTGTGTGGGAGACATCTCGGTGATATCATGCTGATTGCTCCCAAATACTGGGGGTGAAGTTTTTGTCAGCTTTTCTGACCAAAATGAAAGTTATGTACTAGTCTGAAAGCTCCAAAGCATTGTTATTGTGTACTTCAGTTGTACTGGAAGGTAACATGGTATGCAGATACTGCTGGGAAGACAAGGACAAGCCCTGTACTGCTAATGCCCTGTAGGTGCTTTGAAGGTTACATCTTGTGTGTAGGGAGGACGCTGGGATTATTTTTTTTTCTCCCCTGCTGTTTTCTGCCCACATGCTATCAGACAAAGTTAATATTCTGGAAAAGTGATCAGTGTGGGCAAGCTCAGTTTGAGCCAAGCATTAGCTTTGCTTCAGAGAGGCATCTGCAATGGTCCTCTAGTGTCTAAGTTACTTCAGTTACCAGTCAGCCTGGAATTGTAATCAGCTCTTCTGTGTAGTACTAGGGGTTTGCAAAGGAAGCAAATTAGTGAAACAAGGGGAAGAATAAATTTCTCTATTGTATTTATTATTGCTCAAATTTGTTTTTCTTAATCTAGAAATAGACATCAAGCTAAGTACTTACATAAGGAACAGTGTCTAGTAATCAGATAAGTCTTTAAAAATGTTAGGTAGGAGGGATTTAGTGGTTTTCTTGTTTGTTTCTTGAGGAACAAATGGGATCTTTCATAACTCCAAGTATTTGCTAATCTGCATAGAAAGTTAGTTGTATGGATGTGGAAAATATACAGCTCTCAGTGTGAAAAGCTGCTTTGATTTGAGTGTACTGTGTAGAATTATAAATGAAAGAATGTAGGTGTTACCTGGACCTGTAGGTTTAAGTACACACACGACTGTGTAACTTAAGTATTAGATTACCATTTCTTCAGGAAGTAATACTAATAGTTTCAGCTGTAAGTGGTGAATGAGTTGGGCTGGTATTTTTGTTTCATTGTGCTTTCACTTTTCAGAATTCATTAGTGACTGTTCTCCCTTATCTGTGACTCTGTTTTTTCTGTTAGTGTTTTCTGGCTCTGTGATAGCTGGCTTGGATCAAGTAAAGGGACTTGGACCTGAAGGAATGCAAGGATCTTTAGGAGTCTTAAGACCTGGTTACTAAAAAACTCTTCTTTCCATAGCTGTAAACTGGGGGGTGAGGGAACTGGGGAGGGCTATTAAAACAAACCTCACTATTTTCCAGGTTACTGTTAAAGTTGGCGTCTGAAGTTCTAATAGTGAACACTTTTGACAAAAACCATAATAGATCTTGCAGCTTTAGTCTGCAGGTATTTAGCAGCTGGAGGCTGATGCCTTGTCCATGCTATAGGCCAGAATAGGTCATATTGCGTAAAAATGGAAAGGAAGAGTGTGTGTTTCCTTAATTCAGTCTAAAACTTGCTGTCTTGTTTAAGAAGAGTTCCCATATGTCAAAGCAAAATGACTGGGAACAAACATTGTTTCTCTTAAAACTGCTGGTGATCTTCATATATGTGAAGGCTTATACCAATGGATGATCCCTGAATATTATCCAGATCCATTTTCTATTGTGTGGGTGACAATATAATAATGGCTTCAGCTGGATGGTGAACTAAGTATCTGTTTGCTTTGAAGATAGGATTCTCTGCAGCATACTGTTAGGCTGATTGCTGTCAAGCACAAGAGAGGATGGAAACATAAGGATGCATAATGAAGTGTTAAATGGATTTTGTTAAATGAGAAACTACCCATGAAATGCAGGTTTTTTCTGATAATAAACCATGATGGTGTGTTTTTTTGGGAATTAAACTGGAGCAGGTGTCTGATGTGTAGGTGGATGAGTTATGGTACTAATCCTATTGATTGACATGGCTAATATTGCACATCTGTAGAAAGAATTCAGATTTGGCTTTTGTATCTAAGGGTAAGAATTAGATACTCCTTCTCTCAAGATACTTTCATATCTGATCTTTTGCTTTCATTGAAGGGGAGTCCTTGTTCATGCAAGTTTGTGTGTGGGGGTTTAAGGATAAGCAGTCTTCTTTTCTTGGTGCAGAGCCAGCCTAAAGCAATAGGATTTATTCATCTGCACTGTTAACTTAATGAAGATAGTGGAGAACTAACTGCTTCAGGGTAAGAATT